AGACGATGGAAATGGATAGGACATACATTACGCAAATCGTCGAACTGCATCACGAGGCAAGCCCTAACTTGGAATCCTGAAGGGAAGCGAAAAAGAGGAAGGCCAAAGAACACATTGCGTCGGATAATAGAAGCAGATATGAAAACGATGAATTACAACTGGACGGAGCTAGAAAGGATTGCCCAGGACAGGGTTGGATGGAGAATGCTGGTGAGCGGCCTATGCTCCTTCACGAGAAGTAACAGGCGTAAGTAAGTAAGTTCAACCATTGATCGTGATCATTTTACTGATCTCAACTGGATAGTTTGTACTTAACAGTATCACTTATTTTAAAAGTCAATGTTTGCATGCATTTATCCTACGTCATGGTTGGATAACCTTTAATCTGCTTCTCATTTATTCTTGTTCTAGACAATACTACACTTTGAATTAAGCAGGGATTAACCGTATATTAATAAGAAATGAACAGTATATGTTACTCATTTATTTTAACCAGAGATTGATTACTGGTGTTTATTTTATGGTGAACCATTTAACATAAATCATAATTGAATTATGAGGAACTAAAATGGGATTCTTTACTGATTGTATGTATATAGTTATAATTAAATGGATTAGTCGTACGAATTTTTCTCTCTATATTTATGTAAGAACAAAACTGTTAACCAAAACTGTTCGGTTATTTACTTATTTCTTTAAAATAGTATAAATAGAGTGAAAAAAAAACCAATGTAACCACTTTATTTAAGTTTTTTAACAGTTGAGTTCATGAGTTAATTGACAGTAGACTACCGTGGAAAACTTGGAAGTACTGGAAGGTCGTTTCGTCCTACCGTGGAACTTCTCAGTAGTGTGTATCCACGATCCCGTCCAATGGGATTTGAACCAAGGATCTATCGGAGAGTTTAAATTTAAAAAAAGTATTATTCACTATGAGCTAATGGATATTAATTAGGTCAATATTTTCATTCATGTTTTTAATTATTTGATAAGTGGCAAAGAAAAGATTCCATAGTGTTATGCCCCGATAAGCATAATGAATGGTAACTGTTGAGATCTTTTTATGGACCAATACTGAACGTATATTTTTGTCGTATAATTGTTATGTAACTAAACTATTCATATTCATGTCCCTCTTATTATGAACTTTATTTTGACCTATGAACTATTATTGTACGATTTACTATTCTTGAATTATGCCCTGTCTATCAATTACTACCTCCCTTATTCATAGCCACATTTGGCTAATTCTTGTACAAATATTATTTTCTATTTTATGGCACGTTGTGGTCTGTCTGGTTGATATATAAACTCAGTATGCTTTAAATATATGATTCATATAGAGGAGGCTGACACTGATGTTCTGTACTTAACAGGCAGAACTAGACAGGAACAATAAATACTCTAGACTGCTCGTACGGGTTTTACACAATATTGGTCCAATCAATAATTTACTGTTTTCTAATTGGCGGTATCATTATGTTATACATTAACAGGGCATACAGGCCACAAGTAATAATACATAGTTGGAAATCAATTGGATAAACCTTGTCTTTAATAACAAAGTTGTGAACTGATTAAAGTTGATTGTTCTATAAGTGCCAGATGTTTTATACATTTAGTTCTATTTATTATTTTGAATAGAGAAAGGATAAAGAATTGAGAAAAGTAACATAAATTCATTGTATTTCGTAAGGTTCTCGTCAGCTGCTTACAACTTGTAATATTTAAACTAATCCTGTAACTAGGTTGCTTATGTTCTTTACTTCATGCAATGATTGATAGATACCCTTTTCATGTTATCACCAACTGTATATACAAATTTACATGTACCTGTGAAAGCAGTTACAATGGTAGAACAGTCAGAATGGTCTATGTTTGATTCTAAGAACATGTCGTAAAAAATCTCAGGTCAAACGGGATTTAAGGCTTTTGACAATGCTGTTGCAATAAATCTCTTTGATACAGGACATCAAGTTAATAGACTGAAATTCTTCAGCATCATTTATCGAATTCTCTTCAACCACTTCATTATATAATCAGTTTATTATTATTTTATCTCTATGATCTCTTGTTACCATGTCTGATGGTCCAGAATCTTTTCTCACTACTCCACCATGGCAATGAATACCTATTTTTTATTGTTATCAATATGGTAACTTTACAATCATCTTGATTTTAACTATTATAGATTGTAAGCAGTTGATGAGAACGTTTTATGAAATGTATGTTATTCTGTATAATTCTCTGTTCTTATTTTATTCAATTGTGAGATACTTATTATTTTAATGGTTACTTTAAGCCAAATATAGAATGATTAAAAAATCTTCAACCTTAAAAAGCTATCTCATTTTAACTTTCAAACTTTTTAAGTAGTACATATTATTCATGAGATTAAAATATTCTTGTCCTAAGGAAGGTATGTTATCATTCAATCTCTGGATTATCATTTTAGCAGTTCACATTTTCGACTTTATTGGATTTGTGGTTTCTTTTCTGGTTAGCGTTTTTTTTAGCGAGTCAGTTTTCTACGTGATGAGGTCACTAACCCTATGTCTAATCCTCCTCCTTTATCTGGGCTTGCGACAGGCAGTAGTCTCAGATGGGCTCTAGGCGGAGTTAATGGATTTGTGATATAGGCCATAAATTATTCAATTTTACAGGTGGATGAATGTTCTACTCTCAAACTGATTTCATAGATCACTTTCCAAAATAATTTCTAGCAATACATGAACACGCTTCTCAATACAATTATGATTGTATGAAGTTGAGTAGAAACAACGACATAAAATGAATTAATAGTATTCTGTTTCTGTTGTGACATTAAGTTCGGCTTTTTATCACGTAAGTTATTCGTCAATTGAAATACAATTTATACAATCTTAGTACTGTGCTAAATCAACGACGTTCGATCAGTGTGAGCAGTCTAGCAGTCCTTATTGATTCTTTGTTCACCTAACCCCGTCCAATTGAGTTCAGAATATCAATAACAGCTTCCATTATGCGAATCATTGATTTCAAACAACTGGTTTATATACAAGGCCAACAGACTTCATCATACCATAAAATAGGAAATAACATTTATACACGGTTAAGTCAAAATGTACATATATATAATATTAGTCCATTATTAGTTCTCGGAAGTTACTCGTAATTTAATCTTCACTGGGATATAACAATATTAAAATAGTATTATGAAATATCTCTCCTTGTCAATTGATCAGCCATAGTTAAATTAGGATCAATATACACAAGTATGTATTGGTCCATATTATCACATATCACGAAGTAAGCGAATAATACAGAATAGATAGAATGTGAAAAGCTGTGAAATCCATGATGCATATGTCATGCTATCTATTCAGTGTGTCAATAGATATTAATTATAGTAAAGAATGGAAAAAGGGAAAGTTCAGTTACAAATAGTACATGTTAAGTATTACTTTATGAATGGGAATTAATTCAGAACGACAACTGAAACTGTTATATCCCAGTGAAGATGAAATTAAGAGTAACTTCTGAGAGCAATTAATAAACTAATATTATCTATATATTCTTATCGTATAACTATTCAGTAATTAGATTATGCATATCTATATTTCCCTTATTATAAGCTTCATTTTGAGTTATAATCTATTATTATACCACCTACCATTCTTAAGTTATGCTCAGTTTATTAATTACAGCCTCTCACAATCACGCTCACAGGCCACTTTTTGGTTTGATCTTGTATAAATGTTATTTCCTATTTTATGGTGTGTTGAAGTCTGTTGGCCTTGTATATAAACCAGTTGTTTGAAATCAATGATTCGCATAATGGAAGCTGTTATTGATATTCTGAACTCAATTGGACGGGGTTAGGTGAACAAAGAATCAATAAGGACTGCTAGACTGCTCACACTGATCGAACGTCGTTGATTTAGCACAGTACTAAGATTGTATAAATTGTATTTCAATTGACGAATAAATCACATGACAACTAGTCATCCTTTAAAGACACAACAAACAATCAATATATATATATATACATTGATGTAATCATGATTGAAATTATTCACAATCATTTGTATTATAAATTTAAACCACATAGTGTGATATGTGCTACTTGTATTGACATAAGTAGTATATGATGTTATTCGTGAACAGAAGGTCTGGCAGCAACGAGACAAGAGGGTCTTCTCATGTAAAAACTATAAATATACTTACGTTCTCCCTATTGTGCTTCTTACTTTCATCTAACTTTGTTACCTGGAATATAATCTCTTTCCTGTTCAACCGTGTTCTGATTTGAGGACTTGTCGAGTAAATCGGTGTCCGAGAATACTAAGCAATAGGAATAGCTGGGTCATAACTGTAAGGAAGAAATTATAACAGTGGTGACGGGGATGGGATATTTTCCTGAATATCCCAACAGGTAGGGTTAGAAAAGGTTGACCCTAAAAATGAACACCTCGCCTTATCCTACAGATATCCGTCTTCCAACAGTTACGGAGCTAACACGAAAATTACCCACAAAAAGTTCGTGTGTGACCAACCTCAAACAGTTGTCTCTTGGACACTGTGGTCGAGCTCTCAGGTCACTGAGGCTGTGGTGTGTGCTACTTATGTTGACATAAGTAGTATATGATGTTAGTCGTGAACAGAAGGTCTGGCAACAGAGACATAAGAGGATCGAACAGTAAAGAATGGGAACAGAATGCAATTTGTATGAAAATGCAAGAACAATGAAGTCTGAGTCATTTTGAGACAATCGATGGACATCTTACAAATTAGGCATTTACTTGATGATTGTTCGATTTTATTGACATGTCCTTTAATGCTGTGTCAAATACATTCGATCGTTCCCCACTGGTGTTCTTGTTCACTACAATAGTTATAGAATAAGGATGTTTTTCTTTTTTCTTTTTTGAAGAAAAGAAGATTTATCTCATCACATCTATTTCATTGTTTTTCCTTTTCTTTTTTTTATTGTTATTGTTTTCTTTTTGTTTTTCTCTTAGATTTTAGCTTTATTATTATCCTTAATTAGTATATTATTATTTGTTGTTGGCTCAGTCAGTACATCATGGATTCATATTCATTTTAAATCAATTGGTTTATTTCAACAATGTGATAGTCTATTAAAACAATTCAATCTCAATCCCAATCCCAATCATAATAATAATAATGATAAATTATTCATGAATACAGATAATAATGAATTAAATGAGATTGAAAAAATTTGTCAATTTCGTGATTTCCTAAATGGTAAGTTGTTCTTCCCCATAGTTGCTATACAATAGAATCTTTAAATTTCATAATTATAATTCATTTTGATAATCGTTATTAGATAATATCTATATACACACCCTCAATGGTATATGAATGAGAAAGTGAATACAAAGTGTTGATTATGCTTATTATTGTACTACGTACAGATAACCAACATTTACAAGTACACTAAGCAAGTATGAAACAGTAGTGCCAAAAAGCAAGTAGACAAGCGAGTTAGCATACGAGTCAAATAAGCGAAAGAGTCAATAGATTAACATAGGGAAATCAGTGAATCATCGAATCAATTAAGCGACTAATAGTAAGGCTAGCAGAATGAATATATGCGTTGGCAGTAAGTAAGCAATTGACCGGACATTATTAGCAACAACCAATTGTGGGAAAGAACAAACCAGATTCCAGTGGAGGAAAAATCAGGAAGAAGAGCTGGAAGTGGATAGGATACACATTGAGGAAAGCACCCAACTGCTCCACAAGGCAAGCCCTCACATGGAATCCTTAATGCCAAAGGAGAAGAGGAAGACCAAAGAACACATTACGCCGAGAAATGGAAATAGACATGAGAAAAATGAACAAGAATTAGATGGAAGTAGAAAAGAAGGCCCAGGACAGAGTGAGTTGGAGAATGGTGGTCGGCGGCCTATGCTCTATTACGAGTAACAGGCGCAGGTAAATAAGTAAGTAAGCAATGCTCAAGTATACATAGCCATACAAGTGTAACAATGATAATGATACAATCATATAGATATGTTGTTATTGTACGAATAACTCTATTTGTTGAATAAGTGTTAACAAAAGCGCTTAATCGAATTAAATGTGAACAAACTCAATGACATATGAGCTGTCATAAATTAATCATAATTAAATATTGTTCTGAATTTCAGGCTTTTTTTATATTTCCAGCTTGATAGGATCACAAATTTGTTTTACTATTGTTATGCCTAGAAACTTAGATTCTTAATATATCCCGTATAACTTGAGCACTCGAACACTATAACTCCTCCTAAAGTCATAAATAAGAAGATAGCAGAAAACTAGAGAAACTACTTTTTGAAAAAGAGTCAAAATGTACAGAAAATTATGGGTATTTATAGACATTAGAGTTTATCATATCAACATTATAATTCAACCAATCAGCGAAGACGCATGTAGCGTATCACGTTGATATTCTATAAAGCTCCTTTGCTTTCTGATAGGATGGAACTCTTCAGCTTCTCTAGGGCCTCTGGAGATTCCGTCGTACTTCTCGTAAGTCATCCCAACAACTCCGATCTAACGGATGATATTCATCTCGATCAATCATACGATAACTGAGAAATCCTAATACCTATTGGCTAGAAACATTGCTCCTTTTCTCCCCCGATAACTAATGAGAACAAAATGATAAACATATTATTATGATGATTTAAAAACATACAGAATTATTTACACTAATTGGGTGAATAAATATGCTCTATACATAGGAAATCATAATTCGTTCATAACTAAGTTATAGGTACTACAAAACTGAACAATCAGAGAATAATTGATAAACGAAAATCAATAAATTGATTGAAAGCTTGTAAATAAGACAGCATAACGCGAGATTATAATTTATGGACGAACCAATCAGATTTACGATAACAGGTCATAGATTTTAGCGCGAAATTCATTCATCAATATGGCTAAATAGAGTGTTGACATTATAGCTTATTTTAGTTCGTGATCAAAACCATATATCTTATTCCTAACCCTAACCATCATCTATTCTTCAAACTATTTCATAACATTCATTTAACCCTAGTAAGTAGGTAGACACTTTCAAGGTCATTTTAGCGTCACTCAAAGGTCGGTTCATAAATTATAGTTTCATCCAGCATGAAAGTATAACAAATAATTACACCATGAAAATAAATATATAAATAAATTCATTACGTAACAATCTGAAATGTTTCACTTTCTTCAAATATCCTCTTCAATCGAACAAATATTATTGAAGATGAGTTGTGTGTTGTGTTATTACATTCAATCAATCATTTAGAATTGATACTATTATCATTTGAATATTTCTAGGTTCTAATATATGAAGAATCAAAACATTCATTTAGTACAAAAGTAGAATTAAACATAGACTAGTAAAACCGGATAATTGATATACAAAATGACATGTTAACGATGAAAAGTAATTAAGGTAAATAAGAATAGAGGCAGGAATTTGATAAGAATATTTATATCAATGAAAGACAATGATATAAGTGAACAGTATACACAACAATTTACTAAATAAAATGCCCCCAAATGCCCTAGTATGACCGAGAGTGGGAAGGGCCCGCCCTTGCTCTCGAAACGCCCTCACACGGCCACGCGTATACAGCCTCTGCCAGGGAAGTCCTACTCATTGCCTTCTTGTGGCGGGGGTGCTGTTTACGAAAATAAGAAGATGAAAAGCGAATGTTCGGCGCTTTAACAGGATCCAAAACCAGTGGTGAACATGGGCTACAGTATCCTGCGGGAACAAATGGCGTACGAACCAATTCTTGGTCACCGCCTACCATAGAAATACATCTCCTGACGATGCTCCACTGCCTTTTGGGTTAGACCTTTAGGTCAAAGGCTCGGGGTGCAGCTCCCTAAGAAAACTACCTTCTTTGGTCTGGCCACGCGAGCAGTATCACAGCCCCCCACACACACACACACACAAATATGGTGTGGCGCATATACATTTGGTTCCCTGTTGCACCAATATTTATGTGTTGAAATAAAATAATAATAAATAAAATGGTCAATAGTAATCAATATGAATTATATGGCAATGCCACATTACAAATCTTATATGAAATCAAAATGTAGAAGGTTTCAACAACAACAACAACAACAACAAATCGTAAACGTACTGATATCGATCAACATTAACAGATATGACTGAATAAAGTTATGTCATTGTCCGTGTTTACTTTATAATGTCAAGTGAATATTTGTCATTGTAACGATTACATTAATACCTCTATCCAGTCCCATATATTTAATCTAAGTAAAGAATTCCCAGCATAATATATTCAATATTGTAGTAGATTTACCGCCATATATTCTCTTCAACTTATCATTATGTACAAAAAATTGCAAACAATTATGATTATTACAGTTTATATAACTATTTATTTCTTTGTATAATATATTTGTATCAAAAGGGGTTTTTGTGGACATTATAGTAATTTCAAAAGTTGAGATCATGAGTCAATTTAAGCTAGACCACTATGGAGAACCTGAAAGCACTGGACCGCCGTGTCGTCCTAGTATGGGAATCTTCAGTAGTGCGCATTCATGATCCTGCCTGACGAGATTTGAACCCAGGACCTATCGATTTTGCTGTTGAGAAGTCCCAAAATAGGACGAAATGGTCATTCAGTGCTTCCAGGTTTTCCATGGTGGTCTAGCTCCAAGTGACTCATAATCTTAATTATAATATATTGGTTACATGAAATTATCTTTTAAAAAAACCATCCATCCAGTATGTTAATCGTTCCATTGGAATTTACAACATCCTTAAATTTTAAGTTTGTTACAAAGTTGATTAAATATATATTAGATGACAGAAGAGATAAATTATATTAGGAAGGATGTTTGTCTGTAGATACATGTTTTATTCGATCTACTTCAGCTTGGATACTAATGACAGTATGATTGTCCCTCACATAAAGAAATTTGTGGCTGAAGGATAAGAATGTACCAGTCAAATCATATTCATCTTGACTTTAAGTAACATACGTCTAATCAAGTTTACTAGTATAGTTGTATGTTGTTAAGTTTTCTAATATATTCGTTTAATTAAGACCACTACTGATCGGGTTTGTATTATTATAATACAATGATCTGTATATGCTAATCTGTCAAACTAAATCTAATCAACACTCAATAGTGACTAAGGAAATTGTTAACACTTATTGGTCAAGAAATCACATCTTCCTCTACCTCAAATATTCAGTTCAAATTAACCCTCTTTTCATAGATCTCGAATATTCATAGGTTAATATAAATGAATTGTCTGAATACATCACATCGCATATAAGAAGTCAGTTTATGTTCAATTAAGTCAAGAGTAATAGAAATTGAAATAAAATATAAATAACTAATCAACAATAATTTAGAATTATTGAAACATATCGACGATTTGCACATTCAACGACATTTTACAAATAGGTCGGTATAAAAATCTTGTGGTAGTTTCATATAGGTTTGAACAGCATATGACAAATGATCCAGTTTAATAGGCTTAATCATATTTTAATGAACTGTTGCTATTTCTTGGTTTAAGCAAACTTAGTCTTCTTTTACTCTGGCATAATACTTACTTAGTAATCACATATTAAAATTAAGAATAATTTCTCATTATGTGACAGTTCCAGAAGTCATGACTTCTTCATTATTCTCTCCGTTATACTGTATGCTGTAACAAATCTATATGACATGTAATGTACAAGCTCATAGTTGTATGAACTGATATAAGGACGAACAATCATGTAACAAGTAACCGCAATCTTTCTATATTATGTGTACATTTTTACATATGTGTATCAGTCTGCTTGTTAGTTTGACTATTTTATCGCATTAAGTCTTTGACATATAACTATTTTGGAGATATACAAACACTGTGTTTACTCTTTCCTAAGTAAGAACTGTCGGTACGATCGGCAATATATAAATATTTCCCATAACAAACTTCCTCTCACCTTCTAGATTATACATGTTTAATCTGCTGGAATAATATGTTCGGAAGAGTATTTCAGCTTCTATTTCCTTTTACACTTTTTATAATAGTTGACTAAAAGAAGTTGTAGTATAGTGAACAAGAACACAAGTGGAAACAGCCGAATATACCACGGAACATCTCACTGAAATCTGAGAACCATACAGTAAATACTTCGTTTGTAATATATCAATCTCCATTGTCTCAAACTTGAATGCTTCTTTTGTAAATATGGGTCCATCGTCTCAGATTTCATTGTTCTTGCATTTTCATAACAATTGCCATCTGTTTCCGTTGTTTCCTTCTTGATCTTCTACTGAAATACATTCTATCCTTCATTATCGTTATATACTACTTGTGTAGATATAAGTAGCTCACACCACAGTAGTTATACAAGTTTAATAGTGTTATAATGTAAATTATGCTAATTCATATGATGACAAACACTCGTTAAGAATGACCTTTATTGATATAAACGAAAACTGATACAAGTCATTTGTAATATAAAATATGTGACATATAATGTGTACATATATCTGTTTTCTTTCACTAATCAAGCAAAGCTTTTACTTACTTACTTACTTACGCCTGTTACTGTTAATGGAGCAAAGGTCGCCGACTAGCATTCTCCAACCCACTCAGTCCTGGGCCTTCTCTTCTAGTTCCAATCAATCAAAGCTACTGTAACGAACAAAACACGGGTGAGGACAATCGAATGCGTTGAACACAAAATTACAGCAATTGTTAATACAATCTAACAATCAAATTGTAAATACGTAATTTGCAAAATGTCCATCAATTGTCTCATAATGACTCAGACTTCATTGTCCTTGCATATTCATACAAATTGCATTCTGTTCCCATTCTTAACTGTTTGATCCTCTTATGTCTCTGTTCCCAGACCTTCTGTTCACGACTAACATCATATACTACTTATGTCAATATAAGTAGCACACACCACACTACTATTATCTAAATACATCAGATTATATTTAACTATAAAATGGTCAAATATCATAAAAAAAGTTTATATTTATCATTGTTACCAATTTCATATTATGAATTACATTCGTTTTGATGGTATTCTCAAAAAATGTTATTTACATAATAACCAACTAAATGTTGTTTCCTTTTTTTTTTAATTTTCTTTTAGTTAATGTACTTATCATTATTATCTTAGATTTGATTGCTTTGATCTTAGCAATAATTGGAAGTTCTTTACTATTAAGTGGAATATTCTCATTGAATATTAAACGTAAACGTACATTTTATCATATATCAATTGTATTGCATATACTTTCATGTAAGTTCTTTAAAGAATAATTTAAGTATCATTTTCTTAAAAACTTTTCTTTCCTATTGTTATTTTAATTGATTGAAAACAGCTAATCTATTTTAAGATCATCAGTGTTTTTACTGTTTATGTAATATCAGAAGAGGTTTTCTGTGAATATTATAGTCATTTTAATAGATAAGATCATAAGTCAATTGAAGCTGGATCACCCTGGAAATAATATCCACGAAAACCCTTAGAGATATTAATCAACATATGCTCACTAGTTACTGGCTTCAAGATGTATTTCCTAGAGTTCTAGTGAGAAGCGGTGACCAGTGGAGTTCAACAGAGTCTATTATGAGATTGTAATTCACTGAAGACAATGGTGGATGTGTTGCTCAATTTCGTGGATTAGTTGAAGTTAGACATTAACACTGTTGGATTCTAGCTCAGTGGTTTAGAGGTTAAGCGTTCGCCCACGAAACTGATAATTCCTGTGTTTAAATTTTGAGAGGCGTTATTATGGATGCGCACTGCTGAAGAATCCCACAATAAGACGAAACGGCCGTCCAGTACTTCCGGATTTTCCATGGTAGTCTAACCTCAACTGACTCATGATTTCAACTAATAAGATAAGTTGTATGCTAATTATCACTAGTCCGCAGATTTTGTGAATTCGATCAAAATAACTGAAATACTGAATTAGTATTAGGTTTTCTTTATAAATAGATGTATGGCCTATTTAACTTTAATTACTGAAAATTCGATGATATGATTTTTTGAAGTTCCAAGTTATAATTCCTTCATTAAGTCGTAATAATACTTATAGTTTTCAATAAATTATCCAAATATCTAAAAAATTCAGGAAGTTTCCTAAGAGTTGAAATAATCAATAACTATGTACTAAGGTAAGAGAAGGTTGATACCAGTTAAATAATAACGAATGATAGTTTAAACTTATGACTTGCAAAGATCTTTAATTGTCCAATCTGAATTATAGTCCTGACAATAAATAATAGATTAGTTCGGCACGACTAGATACAAGACAAGTAACAACTGCATATTAGTAATTATTTGTTTAATACTAAAAAGATGTATGAAAAGCATTACAAGTAATTAATTTCATACAATTGTTTAGCTTAGAAAGTGTAACAAAACATAAATAACTGTGTTTACAGAATATGATAAACCTATAACATTTGATTATATCTTTTTAACCATATACTTTACATTTTTTTCATAGTCATCTTCCAACCACATCACTAACCAATAATCCTAGTTCATCATTTAAGGTTACTTTAATGATTAGGTAAGGTAAGTATGGGCAATACAGGATCTGAATCATAAAATGGCTCCTTTCTGTTCAGGCAAAAAAAAATACAATTCCTGAAAATTTTACAGAAATATATCATAAATATTTTATTAGAAATGCTGCATCACAGTCAAGTTTTGTTTGAACAGTTAACCAATCATATCATCGAAATATATCAGCCAATAAAAATTAACAATAATAATAGCCAATCACTGTAATCCATTATGTGTGTCAGTTGTAAGTAGTTGACCAATAGGGTTACGAAAAAAAGTCTAATTCATTAGGTGTTTTCTGACCAAGAAAATCAAAACATTTCGTATTTACTTGAACCAACAAATTGAATTTCAATCGTTAAGATCATGAGTCAGTTAGAGCTAGATCCCCATAAGAAACCTAGATGCACTGAACGGCCGTTTCGTCCTATTGTGGGACTCCTTGGTAGTGCGCATCCACGATAACGCCTTTCGAGATTCGAATCCAGGACATATCAGTCTCGCGCTTAGCCTTTAAACCACTGAGCAGACATCCAACGATGTTGGTGTCTAACTTCAACTAATCTACAAAATTGAGCGACACATCCATCATTTTCTGAAGTAAACAAGCCTGTTGTTAATTAAATATTCTAAAAAAGGACTCAGAATAAAAACACATATTTGACGATACATTGAAAGTAATTAACAAAACAAATCAAAATGGTTTCTCGGTGACTTATATGAATGAATACTTTTGAATAACACATTGAAAACAACTCTGATCACTAACTAATATTAACTGAAGGACCATTGTATACTGGAGCGTTATTTTGTTGTTATTTAATAACACCATTAGATGCCGGCTCATTGGTCTAGTTGGTTAAGCACTTGTCGCGAGACTGATAGGTTCTGGGTTCAAATCCCTCGAGGCGGGGTTGTGGATGCGCACTGCTGAGGAGTTTCACAATAGGAAGAAACGGCCGTCAAATGCTTCCAGGTTTTCCATGATGGACCAGCTTCAATTGACTCACGATCTCAACTAATGAAATTACTACAATCTCCGCAAACCCTTTTCTGATGTTATTGAATACTTTAGAAATAGGCACATCCATGATTATGACTTGTTTATTTTAAGATCTTAGTTGAAGGGTTCGATGTTCTCGGAGAATTGCAAGTAGGATAGGATGTGTATCTTTAAAATCACTTATGGCCATCATCAAAATATCAAACGAAATGAATAGCATTTTTTTTAAAAATTTGGTTTTCTTACTAATCCCAAGTCAACTAGCAAAGTAGTTGACTTGAAAATTAAACTACATTACCGTAGAATTTGATACTTACCAATAATAGTGAATGTAAAATAATACAACAATTGATAAATTTTGAAATTCTCCACCAAAGAAATCTGATCGAGTTGTTTAGAACCATTACACATGCCAAGAGACACAAAATGAACGATTTAATTTGGAAGTTGATTGATTAGAATAAACTTTCGTGGAGTTATGAATTGGAGTGACAGTCTTCATTCTCCATAATCTAGTTTCATTATTTTTTCGAAAGCTATTATCAATTGACCTCCAACCACACTTTACTTACTTACTATCCCAAAGCGAGCTGAATAGCAAATAGACGTATGTCCTACAACTCTTGGTGAGGTTGATAAGGCTATAGGCAATCTAAAGCGAAAGAGAGCAGCAGGGCCTGATGGACTAACCCCTTAGATTTTTAAGGATGATGGCCCAGTTCTAGCAGTTACATTAACTGAGATCTTAGCTAAAATCTGGAAATTGCACGCAATTCAGTGCAATCGGTCTCGGTCGCTGATCGTTATTCTATAAGAATACACAAAAGTCGTCTTATGGCAATCACAGAGCAAACAGTTTAAATAATTCAGTGTCTAAAATATTAGTCTCTATAATATTGACACATCTAACTAGAACTCTTGAAAAGCAAACCCGAGTAAACCAGGCTGGTTTAACTGTCATAGATATGCCTTTAGAAATAATATTATCATCGTTCGACTATTCAGGGGTTGATCTACCAGAAGATTCACTTACTCACTCGGAATGTCCAGAAGATATAGTTGTGTTCGGTGAAGACGCTAGAAAAATCCAGTCTTCTGACCACCTTAAAACACAATGCAAGCATGTTTGAGATGCAGTCCTCTCCTGCCAAGTGCAAAATGTTGCTTCGCGATTGGCTTGCGTCATCACCCGGATTAATCACAATGAGTGGGGCAGCTGAACGCATCGTCAACTCCACTTATCTTGGACGTCTCATCAATCATGATGATCTGATGACTGACGAAATCTTCACATACACTGACAGTCCGACTGGCTTTTACCAACTTGCATCACTTGTGGTGCAGGTGACATCCTTTTGCCAAACAAAGGACGGGTTCTCTGAGCAGCAGTTCAATTTGTTCTACTTCATGAGTGTGAAACATGACCATTAGTAATAGAGGATATTCGTAGGTTACTAGTATTCCATCATAAATGTCTTCGAAGCATTGCTCATGTGTGTTGAGATCACAGACTAAGCAATGCATGGATTAGGAATAGACTGCCATCAGGTAATGAATCTGTATCAACTGAGGTGGTTGGGACATTCGTTACGTAAGCTTAACTACGGCCTACCTTGACGAGAGATGTTGTTTGGTGTAGAAACAGGCTGGAACAAAGCTAAGAGCACCCAAACCCAAACACAACGTCAGTCCATGATATCACTAACAGTGAGTCAGCTACAACGTAGCACCAGGCACATATATGCACCGGTCCAAGTTGTCATACCGCATTAGCACAACAACATGAACACCGGATTCATAGAATCAGTTAACTCAATCGTGTAATATATAAAAGATCTTATGTAAGGATATAGTACAGAAAAAAAGAATTGGTTCATAGAAAGAAAGATATGAAGTGATTTTAATCTCTTAGTTTAAGGGAAGACAGGGAGTGTATACACCTGCGCCATTGTGATCGATTCCGAACCATGTCACCAAGAGTCTCCAACCATTGGTTACGATAGTTACGCGGACCCCAGCCAAGTAGTCTGAATCTACCAACATGGCTAAGACTAGGAGTTGGTGATTACAAGCACTACAATTAAGCATTCTATCTAAGTCTATACTCCTATTATCAAAAACGTATTTGTACGTAATAAATCAGGCTTTAACAGTTGAATAACTTAGTTCATTTAATTAGAATGTATCTTGCGCGCGAGACTGATAGGTCCTGGGTTCGAATCCTGTGAGTGGGATCGTGGATGCGCACTCCTGAGGAGTCCCATAAAAGGCCTTCCATGGTGGTTTGTCATTAAGTGACTCATAATCTTAACAATTAAAATTACTATAATATCCACAAAAACCCTTCTGATATTAATCAACATATGCTCATTAATGACTATCTCCAAGATGTATTTCCTGTAGTTCTAGTTGGAAGCAGTAATCAGTGGAGTTCAACCGAGTCTGTTGTGATATAATCTTATTATTATAGATTCTTTTCATGAATACTAAAATAGTTAAATATTTATTTATATAAAATTATTTAATTATGATTCAAACATTGAATTTCAATTTTGTTTTTTGTTTTAGGTATCACAATATTATCAGCATTAATTATCTTAGTGATTGAATGTATGAATGAAGCAAATCAGAATTCATCATCTACATCATCATCATCATCATCATCATCATCATCATTAGAGAATCAATCAACTATTACAATTGGTTGGTCATTGATTATTGTTTGTTGTGGAATATTTATACTTGGTATATCAGTTTGTCTTGTTTTATTTGATAGAGGTGGTGAAGAAATTGAATATCGTGAAACAATTCATCGATCATCAAATTATATAGGAGATTCATAAAGAGATAGAAAGACAGAAGAAAAGAGAGTAGTAACCAAGAGGGAAAAAGAAATAATATTGGAATGGGGATGGAGTAATTCAAGTTAATAAGCATCTAACTATCTATGGTGCATATAAATATTGATTTTTGATTTTCTGTAGACAAAATATGCACAAAACACATATACATACATTATAGATTTGTGTGCACATATACACATATACGATGCCTTAATTTGTATTCAGATCATATTGAATTGGCCAATTAGTATCAAATGTTCTTTGTTTTTTTTTTGAATATTCTATAGGGATTTCGAAACTGCAATTAGTCTCAGTTGACTATTTACATTCACCAATAGCATATCTGCTTGGTTTAAATGTGTTTGCAATTTTGTTGGCACAAGGAAAAGGAAAGAAACAAGAATTATGAAATAAACTACATCTTCTTTAGCCTTTCCTTATATAAAAATTCATATTCTTAACATGATATAGAAAGGTTGAAGTGTAGTTCAGTAAGTAGGCTGACTGAATCATTTCTTGTGTTATTTAATAAAGATTTTCAATATGAGTTTTCTTTCGCTTTCCCTCATCAACATATCGGATGATAAGATGATGTTAGTCTCTCTGCCCCACCCCAAGGCCGTTTATTCATGAATTGAACTTACTTATCACTAGCCTCAAAGTAGAACTGAAAAACCGGTCGTCTCAAGGCTTTAAACTATATCGAGACAAATTCTGTCTTGTATATCAATCAGTGGATGGATTAAGAACGTAGCAAGAAGCATTTAATTTAAAAGGTTACGCTAATACATGAGGACTGTGATCAATTAGTTATTGGTTAGTCAAACAGTTCCAGTTTGCATTTAAAATGATGTTACAATCAAACTAAGTTTATGATATTGAAACATGATATTAAGTTGAAACAACAAATCTTAAGATTATCATGAATAGGTATAACATATGGTAATCGTAAATAATTTTCGAAGTGTCTTTTCCAATTAGGTAATCGCCTTTTTTTAAAAATATCTTCATCCTATATTACAATCCCCTCATAGGATGACGATCAAATACAAAGTCCCGATGGATTAGACATTAGAAAAAAATATGATTCATTAGTCAGTCAGTCAGTAACAACGTAGAACTTCGTACGTACGTACATCAGTTCGAGTTGCTACACCACATTAGCACTGAGATGCAGTTGTCGATTCAAATCCCATAGTGGTAGAGGTAATAAGAGTATAAGCAGTAATCGGGAAGAATTCAGAAGATTAGAATTTGGGAGAACACAGAGAGTGGATGCATCTGCGCCATTGCAAACGATTTTGAGCCATGTCATTCAGGGTCTCTAACCATCGGTTGCTATCATCTCGCGGTCCCAAACCAGGTAGTCTACACCTACCGACATGGTTCAGTTCACTTGTCAGTGACTTCATGGACTTGTGCCATGTTTTGGTTTGGCCGCCCCTAGCTTTCTTCCAACCTACTCCTATACCACTGAATATAGCACGTCGAGGCAGTCGGTAGTTGGGCATACGTAACACGTGTCCCAGCCATCTCAACTGATGAAGTTTCACTACTTCATTAATTGTTTGACATCCTTACCTAGTACCCGTTTCCTAACAACTGCGTTACTTACTCGATAGTCCCAGGATATACGAGCAATGTTTCGAAGACACCTATGATCGAATACTAGTAACCTACGGATATCCTCTACTCTTACCGGCCATGTTTCACTGCCATAAAGTAGGACGGAACGAACTGCTGCGCAATAAACACGTCCTTTGGTTGATAGACGGATATCTCGCCTACGCCATAAATGACGCAAGTTGGCAAAAGCTAGTCGAGCCTTCTGTATCCGTGCTGAGATTTAGTCACACACCAAACCACAAGGGCTGATGAGACTTCCCAGATAAGTGAAGCGGTCGACACACTCAACTACTTCACTCCCTATCACTAGTTCGGGTGTGATAGGGAGTGATTCATTAACACATTATCCAATATATATTACCATGGATAGAAAAATGTAGATCTGTAAAATTACTACTGATTAACTTTAAAGCAATTAGTCCGTTTTATATAAAAATGCCTTGACAAGTATATGTGTGACCAGATTGTTCGAAATGTATAGCGCAAATACATCACATTTTTCAGAAAAACTCCGTCTTCTCATTGTTCTATCGAGATACTGATTAACTTACAAAATAACATTGAATAGTTGTTCAAGAATGAAAGTGGAATCACAATAAACAACTAACGAGTTATCATTATTTCCAATCAAAGAATGTAAGTTTAAAAATGTGCACGATTAGTTGATCTAGTTGAAAATGATAACACATTCGATTGAGAAATTCAAGAAACTACTCATGAGTAAGTATTTGCATGTTGAAACAAATGATTCACAAAGATGGTACATAAACAGAAAACCTAGTCTTCAGGTTGACAATCCATTTTTATCATTCACGATGCAGGAATTTTGTCGTAATCATTCCGAACGAGTTTTTATGGAGCCTGACTTAACAGCACTGGGTTTGAAAATCCGACGGGTTGTGCGAATTCGATTTCGTTTAGGATGAATATATCGATGTAACTAAATTAATTGATCCGACAAATGACAAACTTGTGTAGTACGCTTTAGCGGTGATGAAATCCTGTCACCTCGCAATGTACATACTAGTTGAGTTGAATTTTATTATTTATTTGAACACATAGATATTGGTACAAAGGGACACCAAATAGTAGTAAATGACAAAGGATCAGGGAGTTCAAAAAACCCTGATATTTTAGTTGCTGTACTGCACGAAAATTATATACTGAAATCAAATTACAAATAATTTGTATCTTAATCAACTAACTTAATGACCACTTTAGACAATTGATGCACAAAACGAAAGAGAACCATGCGAGTGTATTTCCAGAGATCGGTTCAAGAGTAGATATGAGCTTGGACATTAACTCAGGGTAACGCATTCACTATCAGAAAATAGCTGAATGCTTACCAGATGTTACTGATGTAAACATGTTACAAATGTCAAATATTATATTTGTAGTTCACCCTACGGATGGGATAACAGAACTATCGGTCACAAAAAATAAGTAATTAGTTAGCACTATAATTTTCTATAAGATTACTGTTATATTGAGAATCGATTTTCGGCTGGACTAAACTAGTCAATAGACTGTTGTACACGGGCAAATCACTGAGGAATGTTACGACCAAACTTGAATATCGCATATTCAAAACCTATCTACGAAATACATGGCTTTGAAGTAGCAAATTCATCATCACTTGATTATAGATAAAGTGTAGAGATCAAAGGAATCACGAAGGTTTAACCGACAGTATCAATACATGAGTGCTTGTTATGTGTAGAAGTTATTCTGAAATCGGAAAACTGAGAAGTACATAATCTAAAGTTTAACATTAAAGTCGACTAGGATTCGGTCTTTTGGAAAATATTTGAGTATTGCACGGGCTTTAATATGAACGGGAATCGCGTCTTCGTGATTTAAATACATTTTAAATAGCAAAGATTTGCAGATCTAGCAAGTTTTTGGTCGTTGCATTCTTTTGCATGAAGTGAGCACAATTACGTTCAAAAGGACAATGAGAACTTCGGTACAAAACCACCTAACTCAGAGAAGATAGCAATCGAAAACATTCTGACAGATGTCGCCACATCAAGACTGAGGAACTTCTAAGGTCAGTGCATTTAAAATTTTTAGTCTTGTTAACAATAACAAAACTTAATTATTAGAACGATCTGTTGGTATGAGCATATGCTGCTTCAATGACATACGCCGTGTTTTCTTACTTGACAAACAACTAACCAATAAACAAAATGAAATTGATTGTATACCTACCGACCACCCAAGAAAAACCCCTAGAATTTATAGAATGCTCATACTAGTTTACTAAACCATCCAGGTTTTCTACCCGTTCACACCAGACTCAGAAATTAACAGCTCTCTAAAAAGAAAACTCCGAAGACTAATCCTTAGACATTTTGGAGACGAATATGATATCCATAAGAAAACCGAACTGTTCAGGACTTTTTTAACAAGTCTTTCTATTACTATGAAATGAAGTAATTAGTTCATAATCCGAAATTTAGAGCAATTAAAACCATTTACTAAACGGCAGTGTTAATTTAATTTAAAGAAGTTGAGCTTACAATCGTGCAGTCCACCATATGACTTCAGCGGTTTCAAGAAGCATGATTAGAAATTTTATTATTACAGTAACCTGATGTCAAATGTCAACTGTTATGTTGGATGCCAACCAATCATGTAGTTACAGATAGAGGAGAATCTACAGCAAACATTTCGAATACGGCAATATGAAAACGCAAAGAGCCTAAAAGCAAACAACTTTACATCGCTAAAATAGAAACTAGTCATCCATGATATACAAGAGAACAATAATCATAGGATGAAATTGTCAAACTAGGAGGAAGTTCCGGGAGAATAACACTACAAACTGACCTTTATACGATAACCTAAACGAATTTATTTCCTAGCAACTAACCAATTTTAAGTAGTATAACTAACAAAACAAATTTATCAGGCAAATGTAAACGACATATATCTGTAAATATATGTATATATCCTGTTTACAAGAATAACCAATCAAGTTAGCCGATGGGCAGAAGGGGAACGTGTACAACAATTATAAATGATGATAATGATAATATGTAAAACTGCAGATCAATTGTCAAATCATAGACAGACAAGAAGAATTATATGGGATTCTCAAGTTGAAAAATAGAGAAAGAGCAATAAAATCACCACTAGTCAAGGCAATCAATCGGAAACACAAGCTATCGTGTTAACAATTTAATAGACAATGTATAACATGACAAGGATTCATAAGAAGCACACAATTTACAGTCAAACATTTAATTTAATAAAAACTCAAAGAGACATAGAATTGACACAAACAAAAAATCAAAAAAAAATATCCTGTTTATAGAAAAACTGGTCAAGACTACTACAGTTGATCTACAAAAATGTTGTGCATTTTAAGACAAGTATTGACCACTTTTCAATTGTAATGCGAAAAGACTACAGTATGATCATACGATATATAGTAAGGATGGAAGCACAAAACTCGGAAAATAATTCTCCACAATAAAAGTCAAAAAACACATTGTACGGATGATTTGTCAATGAAGTCCGTCTGTAAAGAATGTAAGAAATGGTGAAAAAAGAAATAGGTAACTTATTTGAAGTGGAATCACAAATATACATTGTACTAATAAGAAAAACTGAGGAAGTGAAGCAACATTACACGATAAATTTATAACTATTTTCGTATTAAGCTAAAAACCAAAATCTTTGTATCAGTCAGCTACAACGTAGCACCAGGCACATATATGCACCGGTCCAAGTTGTCATACCGCATTAGCACAACAACATGAACACCGGATTCATAGAATCAGTTAACTCAATCGTGTAATATATAAAAGATCTTATGTAAGGATATAGTACAGAAAAAAAGAATTGGTTCATAGAAAGAAAGATATGAAGTGATTTTAATCTCTTAGTTTAAGGGAAGACAGGGAGTGTATACACCTGCGCCATTGTGACCGATTTTGAGCCATGTCACTCTGAGTCTCCAACCATTGGTTACGATAGTTACGCGGACCCCAGCCAAGTAGTCTACATATACCAACATGGCTCAGACTAGAAATAAGTGACTTCAAGCACTGATGCCACGTTTTGGTTTGGCGACCCCCAACTATCTTCCCATAGTCTCCAACACTGGTCAGAATTGCACGTCGTGGTAAACGGTTTTCAGGCCCAACCATTACAGTCGATGGAGATTCACAACCTCATCGACTGATTTACTATCATTCCCCAATACCCTGCATCTAACCTTACCATTACTTACCACTCGGTGATCCCAGCAGATGAGAGCTATGTTTCTAAAACATCTGTGATCAAATACTAGTAACTTACTGGTATCCTCAACCTTTAATGGCCATGTTCCGCAGCCGTAAAGCAAAAAAAACGAAATGTTTCTCAGTATACTCATCGTTTAATTGATAGACGGATAACTCGCCTTCGCCACAGATGATCTAAGTTAGCAAAAGCCAAACAGACTTTCGTCAGACACCAACCCATAAGGGCTGACCGAACTTTCAGGATAAATGAAGTTGTTGATCCATGCCAGTCCTGAAGTAACAATTTACATTTAGATGGGCAGGAACGCATCCTAAACAGCCTGGCATTGTTGCTCAGTGCTACCAAAAGACTCTGCATTTTATCAACTTTTTCACCATCATCTGTGTATATTAAGTCAATAAGAGGACCTACTAGTAGATCCTTTCCTAAAAATTCAAACGATAAGAACGTTATTTTCATCAGTAAGTCTATGATGAAATTAAACAGAAATGGAGAAAGTGGACAGCTTCGCCGGACACCACTTGAGGTTGCAAAATCAGATGACAGTTCGCCATAAGTTGTTAGTGTTCGAGTAAAGAGCCTTTACAAGGTTTATGTACTTTTGAAGTACGTCTTTCAATGACAGACAATGTCAGAAAATGTGATTGTGTTACACTAACAATCAAGGCATTTTCCACTCGAAAAGGAAACAAAGATGATACGACATGTTGGATATAACTATGTTCAACCCAAAATCCTTACCTGGACGAGATGGATATTGGAACGGATTACTATAAAAACCTATGGGATTCAACTGATGTCCGATAGGAGGTGGAGTGGCTTGATTTGGTGGATGAGAAGCCCCACCAAATGCTGGACCATAAAGTCCATTTTGCGGATTAATTGGTCCAGTGATTGCTGCACGAGAAGTACCTCCAAACTGCTGAAGTGATACGCGTTGATGCGATGGTGAAATCGACGGATAAAAACTGGATGGCAACTGAAAGGACTGTTGTCCTTGCGCTGAGGGTGACTGTGGGAGGTTTGGATGGGGGAATAAATTGTGATGCTGTAAACCTCTTTGTCGAACAGTAGCATTTGAATGGTCAGTACTGGGACGCCCTCCTCCAATCACGCCTACATAGTTAGGAGCATTGGCATAATTTGAAACAGAATTTGAAGTGATGGGTGTCGGGAAATGACAAGGTGTATTGTTGTATCCACCCTGAGGAACAGGGTGAGGTAATAAACCTCCACCGTTTCCAGGAGCTGGTCCGATCGCTGGGGCGAATGGTTGTCCAGCGGCTTGAAGGTTAGAAGTAGCAGAAGGGTTTCCAAGAAGAGAATACGAATTTACAGTCGTCGGAAATCCGATTGCATGTCTTCCTGAATTCTGTGGGTAATTAGACTGATGAATGGCTGAATACAAGCCAACAGAAGGAGGAGGTGGAATACAACCAGCAATAGATGGAGGGAAATTGTATTCATTCTGAAATTAAAATAAAACACTACAAATAAAAATCAAATCATTAGCGCACTTATAGATCAGAATGCTTAGATAAGTTACATTATTGTACTAGTTTTGATTAAAAATTTAATAATATTAGGGTTAAAATTCGTTGGTTCAACTAAAAGGGATAAGAATGAAATTGCTTACAAGACTGAACGCATAAACAGTAGTTGTTCACTCAGGTGCTGACATAACCACAGGTAGAAGATAGCAATTTAGTGTGACAAAATGGATTTTGGTGTAAAACTGACAATAGATTATATCAGCACGAAACTTTGTTTATAAAATCATTTATGAATCATTAACATAAAGAAGGCTCAAAAGAGAAATAAACATACTTTTACGTCCGTGGGAAAACTCGAATACCCAGCAGTGAATGTGGATGGATCCATTTGATGTGGTACCTGTTGTCTGCATTTCCGAGCTTGACTCATTTGTGACTGAATCGGAATTGACAAGGAATGGTGAAAAGAACGAGAAGGTGCCGGCTGAATTGTAGTTGACTGTGGATGAACATATAATGAAGGCGCTGCAGATACAAAAGTCATTTGTTGAGACGGAACACATATGTTGTTTGATAGTTTTCCAAATTCTGCAGAGTTATTTCCATATGGACCACTGGAGTATATGTTTACTCTATCTGCGGGTGTCAATATTGAGTTTTGATAAGACTGTATGTGCTGTTGCCTAGGTGTGATAGACATAGTCGACTGCTTAGTCATACTATCCAATGATGGGACGGTATTATTGTGAGTTAAAACATTTGAAAGAATATTAGAACTCATTTGATTTTGAAAGTGTGGTTGATTAGAATTAGCATTATACGAACCTGTTATGCAATTAATATTCACATCCATACTTTGATCAGCTGTAGGCCAAACGTTACCGGAAAACATGTTGCTTTCATGACGATTTATAGGAACATTAGATAAAGAGAATGGTGTATATAGAGCATTTGAGGAAGACCAAGACTGAAAAGAATTACTGGATAAAGTTGTTAAATCTGAGATAGGCGGTCTTAAAAGGGCATTAGTGCGTCCAATGTCACCACAACATTCGAAGTCAGATCTTTCTGTTTCTCCTATCAAATCTGCAGTGGAGATATTCTCAATAATATTATTATTAGATGGGCTAAGAAGATTCAAGTGCATAGAAGTCGAAACAAGAGGTGAGATGGAAGTAACCTGAAGAAGCTGTTGTTGTTGAGGTTTGACCTTACAAATGTTATTAGAAATTTGAGATGAAAATGTAGTTGAAGGACTAACAGTACATAGCGGACCAGCAGAAGGAACAACCGTACCCTGAACTGTACTACTAGCCAAGAGCAAAGTATTATTATTTGAATGATTTTTGTTAGCTTGAGGTATGCTATCACCAATCGACCATAACGACTGCATGGAAGCATAAGAGGAGTTCACCACTGGATCCGTGTTACTGGTTGTTGTAGCGGCTGTGTTGTCTAATAACTTTTTATCTTCATTGGATTCCTCAGTAATTACGTGGTTTGAATGTTCTGATTGCCAGACTGAATTTGAATTGAGTAAAACTGATGTTTTTGTAGAGTCACCATGGTTTTCAGGTGGAGATTTCGCAAACTTTGTCCCAACAACTTTTGACCATGTACGAGTAGTTGAAAAAGAAATCTTCTGCAGCACAGATGATGTAGGTGTTGATGACAAACTGCTACTACAAGGAACTGGTTGGTTAGTTTGACCAGACAAAACAGAAGTTGTAACGGTGCATAATGATGAAGTTGCGTCTAAACATAATGGTGGACCCATAAAACTTACTTTAGTTGGTAGAGACTTCTTTTTACCTGACAAACTTCTCAACAGCCCACTTGACTGACTTTTATGGTCACTTGTATGTACATAGTTTTGTGAAAGAGTGGTAGTTAAAGTTGAACCCTCCCTGGAATATACTTGGCTTACATTACCAACATTTCTAGAGGAAGTATTTGACTTTCTTGTGTTCAAGACACCAGAAACTGAAACTTCTTGCTGCATTCGTCGACGTGCAAAATACTTGCTTGCTTTTGAGACAACTTTTGTAAACCCATCCCCATGTGGAGTATCTTCTTCAAAAATGTCTTGATTTAACTCATCGAACTCTTTACCTGATTGCGAGAACTTATCGGAATCATCCTTGAAGACTGTTTCTTTTTTTCGCTCTGCACGACTAGTCCATGTAGACAAGGAATCCAAAGCATAAGAATTTTCGGGAAATGAGACATGAGGCTTAATAGACATTAAAGGCGGTATTGAGGATATATCATTTCTTTTGTGGTAAAAACTGGTTCCATATCGAGAGGCACGTGTGGTACTACGGTAAGCGCTATGTTGGTTTGTGGAACTTCCACCTGATAATTGAGACTTTTCATTTTTCTGGACATTTCCACTAATAACTGATGGGGAAGAAGAGACTTTAGAACATTCTGTTTGTAAAGCAATCCCACCAGCAGCAGATCTTGGACTGGTACCTGGGGAAAAGTTAGTAAAGTAATACCAACGCTTAGAACAGTCTAGACTTGTCATAAATAATTATTCAACATGAAGGTAACAAATGAGTTAATTAAGGGAACTTTATATAGTAATAATACGACAAAATATTAAAGAATATTAATAACCCATGAATACTGATTTTCACAGGGAAAACTGTAAAAAATAATAAGAATCGTAAATAAGATTGCAAACATCCTAATCACATTACGATTTGACTCAATGTCAAACATACACCATCAAAATGACAGACATATCGACCTATTGTGATTAAGCAGTCAACAATGTGATTCTATCAGTTTGCATGCAAACTTTGATTACATGCAATTACTACTAGCGTCTGAAAGGTAAAACGACGCTACTAAATAAGATTTAAAGTGTCTAAGAAGAACGTAGTATATCATGCACACCTACCCCCTTCTGTGTCATCATTGTCATGATGACGATGATTAATAGTTGCCTCAGCAACATGACAGCTGGATGGATTGCCTCTTGTAACTGTGGAAGATGATTTTGAAGTCTTTACATCATTTTTTAGGTGGGAAGAAGTAGATATTTCGGAAAAATCTTTTCGTTTGTTTGCATCTGACAGCGGCTTTGACGAGTTCTTAATAGTTTCAGAGGAAAATGACCCTTCAGATGCTGTTTCCCATTCATCAACATCATTTGTATCGCTAGTATTCCCGGTTACCACTGTAAAAGATGAATATATCGAACACTTAGCCAATAACAGATTTACGATCTGACCGAGTGAAAACAAATTTTAAAGTCTAATGCTTAAGTGCTTCAAGATCTGACAAAAATTATCAATGATCGTTTCTCTGACTAAATTCGTCACACTATACGGATGTATTAGACTCAATTCTTCTGAAAAATAATACTACGAAATGACAGAACAGATAGTGACGAGACCTGTTATCGGCGCTTCAGCAGATCCCAGAATATGAAACGTTATAAACCATAGATCATATACATTTGAGTGTTGAAATGTTTTTGATAGTGCTGTGTTCTGTGAACCAGGTAATCTAATTGTATAGCTTTTATTGTATTTCTAAAGACAAAAAAAGCGCCTACTGTATGTAAAACTGGATGAGTCTTAAAAACTTTAACTAACGGAATGAACAACAACCGAGTATAAACTATTGCAAAAAACTGTGAAATAAAGGTGTACTATGGAAAAAAAGTGAAGGAAGTAACAACCATATTTGAATTCGATTGTTATTAAGCATACAATGAATAGACTAGATGTAAAGAAACACTGAAATGGTAACTGGTACCTTGAACGCAGGCTTTAACAAAAATCATTCAGTGTTTTCATTGAACAATATATATGATGAAAAAATATCGTTTGTAAAATAATGACAGAAATGGTTCAAACTACTCTCAAACTAAGTGAAAATGGGTAAACATGTGAGAACTGTTCGAACTTCAATGCAATAGCAATAACTTCCAACACAAATATACGGACCATTACATCTCTACCTAAGCTCACTGTAAAAATAACCAGCAGATATTTGACAAATACCAGTGGAGAACAAGAACAATAAATTTTATATGTAAATAAAACTTACCAACCGCTTGCCGCCGACGCATAAGAGACCGTGAGTTCACATTATTTTCATCAAGCGGATCGTTAGCAGTATTTGAAACAACTTCACTATTGTTGCTTTGCTTTCCTTGATCAACGAAATCGACAGCAGAATCAGTATGACCACCATTACCACTACATTGATTGCCACCACGAGAATTACTATTTCCACCAGTTCCAGTCTTAAAAATAATGGAAGCAGATACACCACTAGATGTTCCAGACCGGCCTACACCGCCAGCAGCAGCACCTCCATCACCATCTTTTTCATCATTGTATCGATCCCGCATTTCTCGATAGCGACGAGTGGTATGAATAACAGAGCCGTTAAGACGTTTTGATTGATGATTTTGACCAGCACGACTACTTATGCGTTTGGATGTCCCTAAAACTTTGTGAGTGGCAAAACGATTAGTGCGCGTTTTAGAGTACTGGGAGTTCATAATAACTGAATCTGAAGCGGGGACACGAACGGTGGGAACTTCAGGATCATCTACACCTTCCGTCCGATTATTAGTACTATCCAGTGTCAGTTTAGTTACCTAGTTTAACAGCGAAATGTGGGGAAATGTTATTAAAATACATTGATAAATGTAGGGTGAAACATAAATTCAAATGATATGAAGCACAATAACACTGTATTCCGTATAATTATACAGTGACATATTATAAGCAGTTATTTTTGGGCTATGAATACATGGCTTATTCACTCAGTGACAAAATGCTTTGCAGCAAGTAACTTAAATGTTCTTGCTTTAAAGTACAGATTGCTTAGCGTGCTTTGAACGTTTTAATGTATTAAATATGCTATTGATTCGAAACACGAAATTGACTGATCTTAGTCCTAGATCAACTTACAGCACAAAACGATATAACATTCTGAAGGATCATAAGGTGTGAAGTGGTGACGTTTTAGAGGCGAGAGATTACATCACTATGTTAAGAGATACGTAGGTAACTTTGCTTAGAAAAACGAAAAAATCTATATAAACACATGCTTGAAACCCAAGTAATTGTTTCGGCTTCCAGACAGGATGTTATCATATATCGTCTGTTCTTCTATCCTAATTAATGATGTTATAAGACCAACATTTAGTGACTCATATCATACACTTTTATAACAGGCAGAAAATCAACTCATATGGTGTTAAGTTCGTTTGATGCTCAGTGAACTACTGACAAGTGGACTGAGCCATGTTGGTAGGTGCAGACTACGTGGTTGGGGGTTGCGATACAATAGCAACCAATGGTTAGAGACCTTGAATGGCATGGCTCAAAATCGTTTGCAATGACACAGGTGCATTCACTCTTTGTGTTCTCCCTAATCCTAAGCTTTCGAATTCTTCATGTACCTCTTTTTTTCTTTTGCCAAATTTATTTCACTGGATCATATTCCATAACAAACATCGACAATTGTATCTCTGTGCTAATGTGGTATGGCAACTCGAACTGATGTACGTACGTACGAAGTCCTACGTTGTTACTGACTGACAGTGAAATACAAATAGATTAAATTTATTAGAGTAGGAAACCTACAAGATTTATATTGTCTAATCCTTTACGACATCCAATCATGTTATTGTTTATGTTAATACTTTGTACATTAGCATGCCTATTTATTAGATGGCAATCTCGCCTTAATCTTAGTTTATTCGGGGAGGGTCAGCAATCCAGTGTAGCGAATAGCCGTCACTTAAGCTAAATCGTTTCTATCGACCAGCTGATTTTACAAATTCAAAATTCGTTCATTCAACAAGACGCCTACCTCACAACAGATCCTTAATACTTCTGGTTATTAACGACTACAGACTAACATTTGAACATTTGTGTATTCATGACAATTTTAGAATAAACTTACAAAGACTACGCTTTGAAAAAAATTACCTGTTCAGTATCAATATGTGGCTGAGTGTTTAACTCAGACTTTGTGGTAGCGTTTGTTGGGTTTTTTCTGTATGTTTTATGGAAACGTCCACTGACAGCATAAACCTTCGCTTTACTATCAGGGTAATTAGTTGATCGACTGTGAGACTTATTTTCATCGTTGTCACTAGCAACATACTCATGAGAAAAATCAGTGGTACTTGAAAACTGTCCCTTATGACTGTAATACATCTTTTGCGGTCTCATCTGACGACCATTTGTAACGTAGTATTGACTATCTAAATCCTTGTTCTGATCACGAGATGATTCGTATTGTGCGTATGAACGAGTCATTCGACCACCAAAATATCCAGTAAAGCTGCCAGAAGTAATACTTCGAGAGGCTTCTGTTTAATTAAATGAAAATTAAAGGCTACTAATGTCAGAACATTTAAACTGTTATTGTTGCAAAAGAACGTCGCACGCACAAAATAATGAATAATCTATAATAAGAATGATATCAGCTTATAAATAAAGTAGCTAGATTGGAAAGCATTCACTAGTTCTAGGTACTGTCAAACTGCATATACATATTAAAAAATAACAAAAACCTTGATTTTTAATGGCTCAGAAACGTTATAAATAACATTTCGATACATTAGCTGTGCAGTTAAGAAATAAAACGATGATGGAGATTGGAAATGTAATACCTTTATTACGATAGAAAAACATGAAATACACAGTACATACATACCTCTATATTAAAATTGAAAATAAACTGAGAAAAATGGACATGCTGAACTGAAATGCTTACACTGAGTGCGATTCTTCAACTACAAATTTTTCTACAGTAATACTCACAGAAAACAGAACTGATTGGAATAGTAGCATGTTGAAACTAGCAATGTAGTGCACATTTAAAGTTCGAGACGATTTAAACATGATTGAACAGAAAATGAGTATACAGGGAATAACTGGACGTAGATCAATGGGGTGTTTAAAATTTAAAATATAAATCTACATTTGCATTTGTCGGATTACACTTACATTATACGAGCCACATATAAGGAAAACCCACTTAACTTGTTTGGATCATTTGAAAATTTCTCTATATTAGTCTAACTCTAAACACCACATCTTTGTAGTGAGACCTTCCCAAACTTTTTGCTCTACTTCACCATCACGAATTTCGCGGTTTGACTACGATTTCAAAACAACCATGATTACATAATTTATCTTTTTATGTTGACTCCCAATAAGTATATCTTGATCATACACAAATATTTTTTTACATGTGTAGACCACAGATTCAGTTATTTTCCAGGAGCATGGAGCGAATTATTCAGACACCTACCACTGCCTTGGCCAAAGAGAGCGAATACATATCACGTGTTTTCACTATAGTGACATACTCAAACATGATCTATTTCAAAAGTGATTTTAGTTCAAGTAAATACAACTAAAGGTATGTTTAGGAAATATATAGTTTGCTTTTAAAAGGTACTTTATAAATAATGTCTGTAAATACATTTAACTAAACAAAGATACACAGTGAACACAATAAAAACGTTCAGAAGAGCTTACGACGCTCAGATGGTCTGTAAAGGATATCATCGTTACTATGATTCTTGCGCTGATCAATGCTCAATCCGACAGAATGACCTGTACGAACTCCTCTGGACCCAGAACCATAATGTTGACGCCAATAATAGTCTTGTTCCGAACCTTTTGAATAACGTTTCGAGTATGAAGAGAAATCATCTGTAGTATAACTCCTGCAATTTTATTCAAAAAAAGTTTACATTTTATATTGAGTATTATGAAAATTTCTGTTGACAACAATTAGCTGTTTGCCGAAATAAGGGTTATAAAACTGATAATTGTACGCTAACATAGGAAGAAACTTAAAGGAATCTAACCAATAGATCATCTTAAGTGTTACACAAAATTAGCCATTCAGATAACAATGGGACCTTGTAGTAAGGTTTATAGAAAAAAGGCTATCAAGTCTGCTAAATACATTCCGGAAGACACAAAACAAGTCGTCGTATAGCTAAGGCATTGAACGCTAATATTTATAAAGATAGAAAAAAATATAATCCAGCAGAGTTAGATCAAAACTTAGTTAGAACTATTTCTCATGAACATTACACTCAAATCATTTTATCAAGAAAATTATGTAATTCAAGTTACCTGGAACTTGTAAAATGACTATTTGTCCCGACACGACCACGTCGACCTCGTCTGTTGTATGATGTACTGAGATTTTTATTTCTATCGTTATTATCAGACACTCCAGCTTGATTCGGATGTGAGAATTTACTTAGGTGCTGATTCCTTTTTTTCCCAGACTGGTTATGGAATCGGTTATAGCTCTTGTCATCTTCAGTACCATCACCTTCTTGAACGTCACTAAGGATACCGCATCCATTACTCTCACTTTCGCTAGACAACACAGAAGGTGAACTATTATTGTTCAGATCTGTACGCGTCCAACAACCATCGTCTGTTATATTTCGAACCTGCTTTCTGTATCTCATATGTTCGTCATCAGTCAAACCAGATTTGACCCGTGAATTCATATTATAGGCATCTATAACTGAATCATCAACGCTGCGTGACGGTTTCGAACGCCAGGATTTCGACGACTTTGAAACACTGTGTGAACGATGTGATACATCATAGTCATCTGCAGAATATTGTGGATCACATGGTTCGCGAAGATTCATAGATTCTAGAAATTTTTAAGAATGAAACAGTGCAAGTTATGAAAATGACAAAATATCTTTCAGTTTAAGAGACTTGAAGAGTAGAGACATCTACCACATAAAAAGATTTGCTGGGTCGGTGAATTATTTTAGTAATTATGGCCAATGAATTTACAGCTTCATGAAGACCTACAACCTAGAGAATTGAGGAAAAAATCCTTAACAGAAGTTGATGTTTTGTTCGTCAGAACAAGAAAGGATTTCCTACTGCAAGTTCGGCACATCGGTACATTCTTTGTCTTTGCTGACGTATTGAGTTTTAAAATTATATAATATACACTACCCCGCAAATCTCTTCCTTTCCCCCTAATCATATCTCCTATGCTTAATTTTCTTACTATCACTGGTACTGTAACTACTTCAATCATTCAGAGATTTATCTTGATTAGTTCATTTCGCTGGGTTGATATTATCAATTTATTTAAATGTATAAATATTGGCACAGAGCGGCGACAAAATATATGTGCGTCACACAATAAGCAAATGAGAGTGCAAGAAGACAAAGAAGGGAAGATAAATACAACAAGCATAAAAACAACTGAAACAAAATAGGTAGTTGAGAATAAAAAAACTATGGGAGAAGCAGTTAAGAAAAATACACCAAAAAGGATTCTTTCAGTTAAAGTTTCTCTCACTTTTGGTGTGGTGTATTAAATTTTCGTCAAGTTCTACTCTGCTTCTTACGAACAGGTGTTATTTGCATCAGGCTTACAACTGAGTAACCATACTTCAATAGTTTTGTGGAGATCAGACCTGATTTCAGGTGATTCTTCTCATAGAAAGAATAAGCATTCGACTAGAGATGTAAGGGTTCTTGTTTAGACTCCTAAGAGTTGCTGGTGTATACTGATGAGTTTCATATATGGGCTTGACAGCGAACAATAGCTTCCCGGTTTTCAAAGGTACATATGTGAAGTCCTGACGAAAATCACAACTGATCGATTTTCTGGAAGCGATGTAACACCAACTGCTCAGTTTATAAAGATTTTCTTGTTTTGAAATAAGTTTTCATAAATTTGAGTTATGAAAATACCATTTGAACGGAAGTGAACATGTGTATGTCGATGTCCTATATTTGGGAATCTTATAAACCTAGGATTCTACGAACGTCAAGACAGTTCCGCTGTACGGAGCTGAAACTTCGAGAACTACCACAAGCATTATCAAAGAAGTACAAGTAATTATAAACAGCTGTCTACTCAAGATATTCAATGTCCGTTGGTCGGATACCATCAGCAACGGTCTGCTGTGGGATTCAGCTTCTATCTAAATAAGAAATTAGAAGCCGATGGAAGTGGATAGGATATACATTACGGAAATCATAGAACTGCATCACGAGACAAGCGCTAACTTGGAAACATGAATGAAAACAGAAAAAAGGGATGCCAAAGCACTGTGCTGAGAATTGAAAATAGGCATCAAAAGAATGAATAACACTTACGACCATTGGAAAGGAGAGACCACGACAGTTACCTGGGGAATCCTAGTCGACGGGCCATGCTTTACGAAGAATTAATGTACATCCACTTTTCTATCACCTCAGTGGTTAATTATCGACCAACTGGATAGGTCAATATTGGGTAAGACGGATTTTGCTAGGCAGCCCGTTTGAACCTATTATTTTTTACGTTTGACAGATTGTTGTCTTGAATATAAGCTTAACTGTAACTAATTATTTTTGCGGTACAACTACATACATTATTTATTTATATTTCCGAGTAGCTTAGACAATCTTCTGAACTAAATTAAATCCCCAGTGTGTTATTCAAGTGAATTAGACATTTCGCCCTCTGACGATAATTAAAGTTATCACTCAGTCATTTTGTCCAATTTATTTTCACACAAATCACAGGAACAATCTGGTTGACTAGTGAGAGATAATTCTTTTTCACAATTATTTTGCACAGACTATTTACATCCGTGAGTTGCGTACATGTGGAGATTTTCTTTGAAAATTCCATTCCAATTCCACAACACCATTATTTCTGCTGGTATTCGATGCATAAAATAATGTCATAAATCTTTGATCTTACTGTTTCATATGGTTTTGAGTGATGAATATAAAATTAAGGATTATCGTATTAACTTGACTAGAATTAACATATTTGATATATCATTTAATAGTGCAATCGTCCAGCTTTTGTAGTTATGTTAAATAAGAAATTCTGTCACATCAATTTTTCTCTATTATTGAATGGGTTTTTTAATTGATACCTGGTGGTTTGAGTGAATGTCATATTTTTATCGTAGGTGGAGTTAGAATGTGGATTTAGTAAAACAGAAGTGTAGTTTTCAACTGTAACTCCGTTTGGACTTACCGGTTTACCGCACTATTAGCTCCACATGAGGTAATTGATTTATGATAAGGAAAGCTTACACGTCATTCAAGCATTAACAGATTTATAAAATTCATCTGCAAAACAAATTATTTCATAATCATTTTTTATTTACATTCTGCAACGTGTATTGATATATTAACAACGGATACGATTATTCTTAATACATAATTCATTATAACCCTTAATTTTTCTTCAGGATCATTCAAGTGAACAGAATCAGTGAGTCTGGGATGTTGTGTAATTATACTTACAACCGAAACAGATATAGTTAGTTCGAAAATGAGTTTTCATTATTAAGAACAAAACATTATATTTATATGGCTGAAGAGAGTTAGGTAACTTTTTAAAATTTAAAAGACAATGGTGCCAATATTTTCACGAAATACTTACTGAAGTCACTTGTCACAGCTTCGAAAAGATGGCTTTTAGTGGTCCCACGACCCTTAGCACTTCCTCTCTGAGGCTTGTATGACATCAAGCTCTTTCCACGACCCCGAGAACCACGGCTTACTGGATCTAGTAAGTGATCTTCCTTGTCCCAGAGATGAGCCAAGTGTTGAGATGATGCGCATGATACTTTAATATCCATTAAGCCAGGAACACGAGTGGTTCGTTGACTAGGAGAATTACTACTTGTTACAGTCGAGCTGGTAGTAACTACAGTAACATCCGATCTGCTGGATGATTGTGAAACCCTGTGAACTCGATGAGTTTTTTCGCATGATCCATCAGACTCTTTAACGTTTTGTGAACCGACAGTATCGTCAGGATTACCTGAAACTGGGGTTGTAGATGCATACTGGTTTCGTAGACATGAATCCACAGTACTAGTAGAAGACTGATCATGTCGCAGGGTAGATATCGCGACCTGAGCATTCGATTCTGAAGAGATCGTATTCTTGGGTGAACTAATAGGAGGCCCTTGAGGCCAATTCATCTGTGACTGATTGAAAATCTCGAGGAAACGTTCAACAGAGAAGTCGGGATTTAAAAACACACCTTGTGAATTCTGAGCAGATTTAGGTACTTGAGAATTACCCGCAGACATTTTAAGAGCATTCTGTAGTAACTGTGCCATAAGAGGCTGCTGAGAAAGCAATCGGACCATAGCGGCAGGCATTGAATTGTTAGAACCAAACTGAGCTTGCCATGTGCCAGCAGTTGCTGTGTTTGAACTAACAGGCATTGGCACCTGTGTCTGAGAAATAATTGAGGAAACACTAAGAGGCATTTCAATTCTACTTCTTTCTGGGACCCCACTATCTGCTCCACCTGTGTACGCTATGGCAGCAGCAGTCGCAGCGGCAATTGCGGCTGTTATATCTAGAGGTCCTGATGTTGGAAACGCAGGAAGCATATTATGAGGAGGAGCGCTAAGCATATGACTAACAGATGAATGGTCCCCCACTGGGAACAAGCAATTAGGACCAGCTTGGCATGCCGTAGTCGTGAAAGGCGTAGGAACAGATGGAAGTGATCTGTTTTCTGACATGCTGGGCAAGAGACCCAGAGCAGACTTAGGTAACATGTTATCACTTTCAGCTGAACAGCTTTCAGAAAGCTTTTGTCGTGCTCTTGCCTGTTGAGCTCTTTCAACTGCATTTTTAAATTCTTGGGTTCGTGCTTGCCTCTGAGCCTGTTGTAATTCGGCATCTACATCCGTTGCTGACCTTACAGAGTCAGTAATGCCACTTGCAATCGACACCGCCAAACGACTTTGAAGTGGATGTGTAGAGTAGAACGAATCTAAAAGAGAAGTTAGAAAACATAGTAGTGACTGGCTACCGAATTTTTTTTGGATTCTTGATAATGTAATGTGACACATCTTGCATATGAATGGTAACCTATCTCTATCGAAATTTCAATTAATCCTAAGAATCTACATCGCTTCCCAAAAAATGTACCCCTTCAAAACCTCTCGAGGTTAGAGCAGACGTAGACGATAAATACAAATTTGGTTTGGTACATCCATATATTTAGGATTTTGCACCTGGAATGCTTAGTTGAATTTGTTCGAATCGGACTGCTGACGAGAGAATGCTCACTATGTAAAAATTCATTAGCGCATCGTTCCACACTTTTACTTACCCCAGATAAACATTACGTATTGAAAACAAGGAATTTCAAAACTGTATCTTTCGAAAATTAAGGAAAAAAAGTTTAAAGGATGTGCGTTTTCTAACAAAGATAACCAGTTACGTTTGACCGATTACGAGTATATTCGTCAATCGTTTCCAAAGGTCCAATTAAATGAAAAAATATTACATTTCACTAGACCGAGAAGCGATGTAGACGTCGTAAACAAGTTTATCGAATCTTTATGAACTAAACAGCAATAAAAAAACTAATCAACTTATTAACCAGGTACTTGCGAATGACCCACACTCAGTAAGGACTGATAGCATTACTCAGTCACCTGAAACAGCAAGTAGAGTGGGTTTCGAACCTGGGACTTGATGGTTATCAGTCGAGTATTTTAGCCACTCAGCCACAGCTCCCGAACTAAACAGCAACGAAGACCAGTTTAGCAGGGTGTAGTAATTTCCCAGTAAGCCTTTTTATCAACGATAACCAAGAAAAAACGCATTAACTTCAACAAGATATTCAGAATGAATCAGGTGGTACTCAAAGTATATGGTTGTAAATTACTAAAGAAAAATGAAATATTTAGTAGGACTCAGGACAAGAGGGTCGTAAATTGTTTTTATTTGAAGGTTTATAAACCAGTGCCAAAGTACCTAGTTAAGCATAGATAAATAAACTACGTTAGTGTTTTCTGAGTTTGATGTCAAAACTAGAATGTCGTGTTGCTGATACAAGGAAATTTAAACATACCTATAACGCCTGGAGATGTAACATGGTTCATAAACTGTCCACCTGGTAATGAACGGTTGGCATCAGAAGTAATCCCACAAGTATTTATCGACGCAATGCTGTAAGGAAGATTAATTGGTGGAGGTCCAGAGTGGCTAACTGAACAGTTTCGAGTGTATGAAACATCCGCAGCGGACCAAGCGTTTGATGTCATTAAATTAGAGCCGTACATATTTTGAGATACCGTCGATTGTGACTGGATGACGCAAGCTCCTTGTAAATTAGTCGACGGGCTGACAAAGGGTTTCATAGGCATAGCATGCAAACTGGTCTTAACAGTATTAGAAGGTGGGATCGAAAACTGTGCAGGTTGTTCTGATATGTTTGTCGTTGTGGTCGATTGGATGGATTTTACTTCATACTCTTCATCATCACTAAAAATTATGCGTTCATCGAAGTCAGGTTCATCTTGGCCAATAGCAACCCAGCCAGAAGGCTCCCCAACTATTTCGCGAGCGCCCCCATCAACCTTGGCAGGAATTTCAGATTTAGATGTCGTAGTTGTAGTACTAGAAGTGGTTACAATCTAGAACGATAAAAACAGCAGTATGTGCAAAACTAGTGACTTGCATGCAGTCAGTTTAATTAATAGATACGCGTTTTCTATAACAATTACGACCAATTATCCAAAGCTCAACAGACTACTGTTTTGGTTCACATTCGTTAAAATGTTCATCATGTTGGGTATTTGAATTTTAAACACTATTAGGAATGGTCCCATGAGTCTGATTAGCAAAAGTTATTTAGTGCACATTGATTTACAAATATAGAAACACTCTATGAATAGTATTCCTATATAATCAGCGTCACAATTAACAAGATCCTCAGCGAAAATTTTATCGAAATTTGCCTTCAGATGAAAATGAAGAAAACATGTGTTTTGTATATTGGACTGAAAAATAAAATCTGAAACTACAGCTTACCGGAGTTGGCCTCTGGAAGAATGGTTTGTTAGCTGCCAATCCTCCGCTAGATCCTGGCTTATCACTCGGCGGTTTTAGCGGTTGACTGGATACTTTATCTTTTACTGCATCTTGAGTTTTGTCTGTCTTAACAGAGCCGTTCACACCGACTGAAGTATCTGCCATAAGTAAATGTGATATATTATTACTCACTAGCTAACATAAAAACTAAAAGCAAGAAACCTCAGTCGTTTGGAACAACCAAGATATTTGATTCATAAATTTATGTAATATCTACTTTATTATACTAGTAAAGTCTGTGGGTCACAAAATCTTTCACAAAGCGGAAAACAATAAGAACATGTGACAACCAAGGTTGACAAGCATGAGTTCAGTTGCGATTTGAAGAATGCTGTTACCCATGATAAGTGAAAATTTTGTTTGAATGAATGATTCTATAAAAGGTTTTCTTAGAGGCATACTTTATGCTTGTGTATATTCTTTGCTGTGAAGATAAAGCTATCCATTGATTAATACATCACGGCAAACATTTTCACTTCAACAATCAGTTCGGTCAACCAAGTGAATGAGAAGGTTTGTAGATGAACCTTGACGACCTTGGCTTACACTCACGAAAATTAAATGTAAATTACCAATCACATTAAAGTACATCGGGGACACCTTTCATCGAGAAATAACATGACTGTTTTACGTAGTAGGTGATGTGAAACTGTTGCCAAGTTATAGAGCTTGATTAAACTATTTTGCTTCTATATATGGTAACCAAGATGGACAGATTTAATGTCCGGAACTCTATCCAGGTTTGCATCATTGTGAGAGACATGCTAAAAACCAACATTAAACATCATATCCTGATGTTAATGAAATGATTGGCAACTATCGGTCTGGAAATTTACGTGATATGCTTGTTCTGGGACTCCATAGTGTAGTAACTTGAGTTTGGTGCTAAAGCTGAACCCGATTGGAACCCGGTTAACACTCGAATGCAAGCATACTAGTATAAAAGCGGTTCCTTACGGTTTTTTCCCTTCTTATTCTTTTCACATTACAGACCCTGGAAGATCAGCAAACCAATTCAGACACCCAAACTGAAGGAGGGGAATAACTTTATAGAAATATCCATGAGCTCTAATGTAATAGCCTTATCAATAAAACAATGCAAAGATACCAGTTGCTTCCCTATGATTGCTAGTGAGTGGGCCAGACTGATGTATAAAATAACTTATTTCTGACTAATTATTTCCATTCGTTAAACTCCAATATCCACAGGACTGGTTCCAAAGCGAGAAATGTGCTACCTTGGTTGAAAGCATGTTAATCAAGGGAAGGAAACGAAAATAACTGCATGGAGAATTTTTACAGAACATATGTAGAGACCGTGAAACCTCGGTTAGGATGCGTATCCGAAATTAAAACAGAAATAACGATCAAGGAGCCTTAGATTAGGTCGTGTTTTAAGTGGACTACGCAAGTGTGCATTTTCTTCTATCGTTTCTTTAGAATACCAGTTAACAAATTATTTACAGGTGACACCAAGTCGAATCTCTTGTTTCCATTTCGTAGTATCCAAACTATAAAGCATATTAAAACGCCAATAAAAGTGAAACAATTTTGCTGTATAGATATGGTAATCTTGAGAAATTCGTTAGGCAAATTTGATCATACTCACCTTTCAGTGTTGATACACCCGTTACCCCCATATCTGAGTTACCATAAACGAACTTTGTATATGCTGGTTCGAGAGAATTTCCGACTGTTTCACTATAAAGCGCACCATTCACGGAGGGTAAGGTAGAAACAATTGGAAGGCTATCAGTTCCCGTGGATGATACAGGTGGCTGGTCAGCACTGGAAGTCGAGGGAGCGCCCCACCCACCCCCACCCGCGGGAACAAGAGAAACTCGACTGTCCAGACCGCCTGTTTCAGCCTTGATACTGGGGACCCAAGCTGGTGGGGGTAATCGGCGCGTTCCCTGCAACTTTCCGACAACTTGCATCCCATATTGTCGCACAGCTAAGTAAATTGAAAAAAACAAATATTTGTTTACACAAATAAGCTGTTGTCTGAACTTGACATGTTTGACTGAAATAAACAAGATTCCTACACACGCTTGATATTAAACGACTGTGAGCAAACATACTGCTATACTAAGGTAGATTGACAAAGTGCAGATATCAAAGGGTATTCGTCTTATTATCGTGATTTGATTCAGGTCATGCTAAGTATGAGTCTCAGCAACCGAATCTTATAATCCTAATCACACTACTCGTGGTTTCCATAAACTGGTATCACAACCCAAATATCACTAAAACTAATCCTACTTTACGCATCGCCGCAAATTGGTGCAGTAAACAACACTTGTTCCGATCCTCCTCTCACCACTAACGGACACCAAAGAGAAAACATTAAACGTCAACTCAACGGTGTTACAAAAGAGCAATGTTTGAGAAACAAAAGTTAATATTCGTATTTAGGACCTTTTAGAAACTCGGGAAGAGTCATTTTAAAGCTGTTAAATCAACTGGTCTTTCACGTTGTTAGCACAACCACACACTAATAAAGGTAAAATGTTTGACACAATTTTGTAGTAAGAATAAGCAAGCATTTACGACTCAAAGTGCGGATATATGCATTAACCTTCAATCGTCATTTCATCCTATGAAAGCTGCAAAAGGCTGGCTTCTGTTGGTCCTTCACGACTCCCTGGTTGGGGTGGGGTACGAGAGATGGTTCAACACTGGCTAGAGATGTTATCAGATATGGCTCAGAATAGAGGCCAGTGGCGATCCTGCTGTAACTTCATACTTTCTTCATAAAAAGTGGTTCTATCTTCCTTAACTGAAAGAATTCTTCTGATTGCACCTTTCCGTCCCCCCCCCATTATTATTATTACTACACTACCTTACGCTAATCTTTTCTTTTTTTCTTATACGCACCTTACCTTCTTTTTTCTCTTCCCATTCTTATTGTTTTGTGTGGTGCATATATATCTGATTCCCCCTTGTACCAATATCCATGTCTTTAAATAAATAAATAACCTTCAATCCACACTATACATGGATTTGGGACGACGGAAGTTCACAAAAGAGTGGATTAAAATTCGGAACTATTCTAACACTCGAAATAATGATGAAGTTTGGAGGTTTGTTGGTCATTCGACTTGAACTAGGTACTGAGATCTTTTCTAACATACCTGGAGTAATGTCAGAAAGTGATTCAGATTCTCCTAATGTTGACAAGCAGACTGCAATGCGGTCGGGTACTAAAAAGCTTGTGCATCTGATGCAACGAAGCCCCAGTATACTAACATCCCAAGAACGGAGGATAACCCGCAAAAAGTAATATACCATAAAGATGTTTTAACTGGAAGTAGGTAGATACAAGTCCTGTTTGGTTGGCACAGAAGTTGCGTAACGCTCCCTAACCAGCATATTAAATTCTGAAGGCTTACTTCTTTTATGTCCGACAATCACTAAATACTCACTAACACATGGACGTGCTAACCCGATTACAACGCAGAAACTGAAGGCGGTAGATGCATTAAAATCCACAGTAAGAGCAGCATTTGAGGCAATAATTCGGGTTAATCTCATCTAAAAGACCAGAATACGACTAAACCCAATAAAGTTAGAATCACTCTCAAAACACACAATGAAGTCAGAAATGCCCTACACTCAGTCAAGGTAGTCCGTGTTACTAAGGCTACAGAAATCGATAGAGAAAAGGCCAAGTTATTTTGATGATCTAATGACATTGAAACTTGTAACTGGCACCAAGAAAACACAAAAGCGTTCCTGTACGAATATAGCACGCCTTATTCGCAAGAAAAAAGCTAAACAAAAAGGTCTACCCGATTAGAGTAGAAAACCCTAAGCAATTCCGTATGTAATAGTCGGACATATGACAAGTGCCAGTAGGATATATAAAATCTTACTTGGTTTATGTTGAGGTTCTGTAGTATTTCCTTTGTAAACATGATTAATATTTGACTGAGCAAACTTCACTTTTGTCTTTTCAGACTTGACTTTTGAACTCATTCTGTGATGCCAGCATTGGCTTCTGGAACCAGCTGGTTTTATGACACGAGTTTAAAGAAGGACCGCTGAAAGTGTATGAAACAAAAAACAATTAAAATCTGGTACAATTGCAGATCAGGAGAAAGCGAGTAGCACAAATATTAGGGAACGACATGCAACATACATCAAAAGCCGCCCTAACAACAATGGTGAACGAAAGCTTAGCTCTTAAAAACAAACAAATTCCAATACTAAGCGCCAATGGTCAACATGTTCAGTTTTCAGTATTAAGAAGAGAAAATCATTCAAAGTATGTTAATTCCAGCACTTCGTCAAACCTGATGGATGCGAATTCGCCTTGCCTAAAAAGTGGTACTTGGGAACACTCTTTATCAAAGGAAACCCAAACCAATTCTATCGGCGCGCTTTTCGAACAGGAAAATTAGTTCAAACGTGATTGGCGTTTCCCAAACTTTTGCTGTGTTCTTATGCACCAAAAGTACCATTACTGATCTAATGAATCTATTCTGAGCTATACATTCGGTAAATTACTTTTCTTTTTGAGTCTTACCCAACTTAATGATGAATTGCGGTTTTTTTTGCCTCAGCTTACTAATCGTTTTTTTTCTTCAGTTTTCACGTAAAGGCTAGTTTCAGTTTATCCTAACACGTCTTTATCCATTTTCGCCCTTTTTAGTGTACTGTTTTTTTAAGGTCTTAAGCTTTTGCTAGCATCCATAAAACAGTTTATGTCAATATAGTAATGAAAAATCCATGCAAACGACCTGGATGCCGTTTTGCCGTTACATCTGACATGCAGTGTGACATCTGCAAAGGTTGGTTCAATGAAGCGTGCACAGATCTCACAGAAACTGCTTACAATAGACCCAGTAAGTCGGGCCATAGGTGGACATGTGTCATATGCAACACGGATGCTGAAGTTTTGCTGAATAACATCATTGTCCTATTGACAGGTCTGCGGAGTAAGTTATCAGCAAACTCGGAAAAAGACAGTCACAAAACGGGTAGACAAACAAGGACGCTCAATGAAAGCAAGAAGAGAGGTCTTGACAGCGCTACTATCGATGGAGCATGCATTAGCACTAGTGATGACATGCTGAAACGCAGCATCACGACGTCGACGGTAATAGACTCCCTCAGCAGACTTGGGTCTGCCAGCAAAGAATCTCTGAATGCAACAGTGGTTCCAGAACCTCTGTGGGTGATTGGACCCCCGTTAACAGAGTTAAAAAACATCAGGCGTCACCGTCCAAGAAGCTGAACTTCCCATGTATTGTAGGGAAATCAACTAATGATTTGGCCTCACAGTCTTCCCTCAATAATGTCCGTCCGGTCATCAAGGAACCTAGAAATCGGAAATGCGCTTCGACCTCCAGGTAACAAGAACGTCAACCTGAATACTATAGAAACTCATATGCAATTGAGTTTGTTCTCATTTAATTCGGTTAAGCCCTTTTATTAACTTATTTAGCAGACAATGTTATCCGTACAATAACAACTTCTCTCTGCCTTTTGATTTCAAACACCGTTGAGGATTATATGATAACGGTTACGAGGGTGATTGGTTAACGAAGTACAGCCACCACAATGCACCCATAAACCCGGGAACACAAAAACGGTTCGTGACGATTCTCTCATAATCATGAACCTTAAAGACAACCCTGACTTCCCCTCAGTTTGCACGACAACACATGACGGGATGTCCTGAAGAAAGTTAAATATTAAGCTCGAACTTTCCAGAATAAGGCCTTTGACGGTCACACGGCTCACTCGCGGAAATGACTCTAAGCATCGAAATCACCCGAGCCAACTTCGTGTAACACTAATTAGACCGACGTAGAGGATATCCTGACGGCTAGTCGCCTACTGAAATATGATGGGAACGTAAGAATACTTCCTGACATACTGTATTCTGATCGCAATCTCAACCGGATTATCCCTAACGAATATCGCGAGAAATTTTTCCGCGGAATAAATATCATTGTGCAAGATGTGTCGGAAATCACAAACCCTGGTCAAACAAACTCTGATATTAGGGAGTGGAAATTCATCAATCAATCCATGAAGCTTAAAAACACACTGACTCAAAATGTGACGGGAGTAGCCAACAAGGACGGGGATTCTAGACCACAGCTAATAAACAGAACTTTCCCAACCTCCCACTTCATATATAAAAAATCGACATTTTAATGTTAGGTTTAGCTTTCTCTCAGGCTATGGAATGTCCTATAGTGGTCCCCCAGGGCTCGGTATTAGGACCTCCTCTTTTCTTGATTTATATAAGCGATCTTAAACAACAGGTATCGTCTGACTTATTACTTTATGCTGATGATGGGAAACTGGAGATAGATACGCTTACTTACTCCCGTATGTTACTCCTAATGGAGCATAGGCCGCAGACCAGCATTCTCTGACCCACTCTGTCCTGGGATTTCTTTCCTGGTTCCATCCAATTCTTGTTCATTTTTCCCATGTCTATCTCCATTTCCTGGCGCAATGTGTTCTTTGGTCTTCCTTTTTTCCTTTGGCCTTGAGGATTCCATGTGAGGGCTCGCTAATAAACGCTAACCAAAAAGAATTATCATTCGATAGATACGCAACCAAGAGTATATATTAGCACTTCAAGAGGATCTGACTGGACTTCAAATTTGGGTAGATGATAACGGATTTACCATTAACACTTCAAAGTGTAAAGTAGTTCATCTGCGACATGTCGCAGACTACAGTTACAACTTAGGCAACTCCCTTCTAGAAGTATCCCAAGTTGAAAAAAGGTTTGGGAGTGCTGATACCCTACGATTTGAAGTCTTACGCTGACTGTAGCAAAAGTGCCTTTCGAGCAAACCTTTCACTGGTAACATTGAAGCGCATTTTCGGTCCCAGAACTGGTTGCGTGGCTCGCCGTTGGATACGTTCTAGAGTGTCCTTACCCTTTTGGAGTGAGGGAGGAAATACTATGTTTTCGTACTCTAAATGGGGACGAATGAGACTGTTGAAGATTATGTGGAATGTTCTTCCGTCAAACTGGTCAAGATTTTTAAGATATGGAGTGAGCCAGTAAATTAAAGGTGATTTGATACTCAATCGTTTGAGCTTATTGATTAGACATATATGTTTGACCCTAGCAAGAGCTTTTGAGAAATCAAGGTAAATGACGTCAACCTTCTCCCTGCGACCAAGGATAGTTGTTCATCTGTCTGCCGCAGTTATCAGGTTGGTTACACAAGAATGACCCTTCTTGAAACGTGCTGTTGGGGTGAGAAAAAATTTAAGGGCAATAAATAGTCGTGTTTACCGTCTCATATTAGGGACTTTATAATTTTTAAGGTATAGAGATAGAAGCCACCGGTTTTTAGCTTGAAGTTTCGCTGTGCTAACCTCCTTTAAAGATAGGTGTTATGTGAGCAGCTTCCAAATTTTCGGTAGTTTGCCTCGGTTTAGCGAGTGTGAGAACATCACTTTAAGCGGTGTTGCCAGGATTGAAGCTGCTTCCCTCAGTATAGCAGAATGAACCATACCCGGCCCAGAGGCTGCGTACCGAAAAAAGGTTTTTGGATTGGAGACATATTTAACGATAAGCTTTATCTGATACTGAAGCCTTTCTTTTCTTATTGCCTTTCTGTATATGTCCCTCACACGTTTGTGTTACCCGTACACGCCGTTGTTTTCAGTTCGTTTGTGTTCTGCCCAACAGTGCCTGTTGCGGCTTAGTGAACAAAGAGTGCGGTTCTTGATGACTGTAGGTTGCTTGTAGATTTCTGGGAATAATTTGTAGCACATAAGATCATGTGCAGTAAGAAATCGCAATGAGAATCCATATCAAGTTGAGGGTGAGCTTCCCAATCCAGCTATTGTTGACTGTCCTGTAAAGCTGACACATCGAACCATTTGAAATTCCAACTATTTTAGTTGATAGGATGTTTTAGTCCAGTTTTGCTTATATTATTGAACGCTATGACGGTATGATAACTTTTCCACAAAGAAGCCAAGATTTCAAGATTATCAATTAGGACTTCTTCGTTTTTAAACACTCAGTCTGAGCGTGGAATCGTCTGACAATTTCTCCAGTGAGTTGCCAACTTCAGATTTTCGAATAATCCCAGATCTTCAGTGGTGTTGAATAACCAAGCTTCAGCAGAGTTTACACCTCCAATGTACGAAAGTTGCGCGAAATTGACTTTAGGAAGATCGAAGTCCCCTAGAATCAGGATAAGAGTGAATTTGAGACCAGTAGAGCGCGGTATTTCCTCCAGTATATGATTGTCGTACTCGGTGTTGGCAGTAGGCTTCCTGTAGATGACCCTAACCAAACACCTCAAGGCGGTAGACAATCTCATTGAGCCCCATGCGAATTCATCAAGGTTGATAAACTCTTGGTTGTGCAATTAATGTACTTCCAAGCAAGATCGCAAGTATAAGGCTAATCAACCCCTAATTCCTGTTTTTCTGTCTTTAGGAAACAAAGATATCCAGGGTGTTGCTAGCTTCTGATCCGTAAACTGAGAAGATATCCAAATCTCAGATATTTCTATCAGATGAGAATTATTAGCATTGCTAAGATCACGTAGTTCATCCTTTTTTCGGTAAACTCGCAGTATTCGTGTATAAGTAGTTTATGTTTTCAATTCGAAACGCGTGAACTTCTCCTTCCTGTTTGTCTGTATGAGCCTTACGTGAATGGTCAGGAAGCCTACCTGTAAAAGGTTTTCCGAGTTGATAGCCCCTGTCCTTTTCACGTTATTTTAGTGATCAAGACAGTTCTCAAGTAGAATGGTCAGCTCTAACTTGCCTTTGTGTTTGATTTTACAGGAGAACTGAAGACATTTGGCCGATTATAACCTTTATATTGTATATTAATAATTTTACTGTGTTGTTTGGATGTATTTGTTTTATTCAACTTCTGAACTTGTTTATATCATTATTTTTGGACATTTCGGTTTCTTTTGTCTTTGGTTTGGTATTTGGGGCATGACTAGTCATACCATTTGTTGAATAAGGGTGGCCTGGCAAAACTCCACTCCAGAATAGCAGAATCTCTTTGATCAGGGTCCATGTTTGCTGGCACACCTTGCACAATTATATTTCTTCTTTGAAACAACACCTCGTGAGATACTTTGGGGATGTTCCTGATAAGATTGAGCTCAGAATATGGTAAAACAGGCAGTGTTCTTATTTTCCCTTCTGATTTCTTCAGGTTATTGGCCGGCAGGACA